GCGAAAAATAACAGTAATGTGTTGGAAAAAGTTTTCCATCGTACGAACTTGCCTCATTACTGTTAAAATTCGGCCTAACATGTACGTTAAGGATAACGTAAACGTTCAATCATAGGACCCAATGGGTTCTATTGATACAATATGCACATTGGCTTTCTACCCCCAGTTTAGTGTTTCTGATGTGTCTCTGACTCGTGCATAGATGCATTCGTAAACTAATCACTGCGCATGTCAATCGTTTATTCGTCCGTTGTTTAATCAGCGATTTGTACTTGTTGGAACGCAAAATGCAATGGAATTGGACAAACCAAACACATGTTTGGTGAATTGGTATTTTAAACATTATTTAAAATACAACAAAATACATTTACCCACATAACATCAATGTTCTATGAATATACTAAGACTGTTCTGTCTATGTTCTTTTTTCTATATGCTTTCTAGAATGTTCTTAGAACATACCTAGTATATACTTTGAAAGTATATTCTAGAAAGTATATACTGAGTACGTACCTTAAAAGTATATTCAAAAAAGTATATACTCAGCACGTACTATAACAGGACATTCTTAGAAGATACCAAAATTCATATACCCAGCATGTTCCTCATATACTGAGAATGTTCTAAATGCTTGCAGGTAAAAATTAACACCAAAATACATGTAAAAACACGTTTTTATACACATCTATATACATTTTTCCCAGATGTTGATTTGATAATTCGTTAGCAAACGCACTAACGTTGAGGGTTCAGACCAACAAACATTTGTCACTTTAACAGAAGAGAAGAATAACATAACCTACAATTTCTACAAATTTTTTAGATTACGTTTCAGATCCTTCCTCCATGCGTTTCAGTTTGTAATAGGTAAGTAAATTATTAAAAATTAATTGCATCGTGTGTTCTATATAAAAATAAACATATTTTACTATATTTGTAGTTTTTAGGACTTATAATTGATGTTAGAACACAGGATATCCCAAATATTAATTGCCAGTATGAATTTATTAATATGGTTAATACTAATGGCGGATTGAAACTAAAATACAGTGTTACCAGAATTACATACAGTTTCTATGAAAAAAATATTGTAAAGCCAGAAATTGACCTGGAAGAACTATAATATTAGCTAAAGGAGGACGAAAACTACAAAATGGTGGTAAGTAATTAACAAAAATATATTTAAACTTTCACTGAACATAATAATCATTTATGTAACTCTTGTTTTTGTTAGTGGAATGCCATGTACAATTTTTAATGTTTTACGTTCGACAAACATATTCTATTAGCTATGTACACTTAATTTGTATATGTACCAAGTTTGTTGATTTTTTTTATTTTTTAGGTTCAATGAAGATCCAATGGAACCAAGCAATAAAATATTGGTTGGTTAAGGTCAAAGAAAGAATTTGTAATAAAAATAAGATAAGTATATATGATTTTTTTTAAATAAAGATTTAAAAAATGGTCACGATTTTCATTATTATATAGGTACACTTATTTTTTAATGTTCAATATTAATCAAACATCCTTTATTATGGTGTCTAGTATATGCCCAGCATGTTATATTTAAATACTTAGCATATACTTAGAACGTACTATCAAATTAGAGTAGATACCTATTGCATGCTGTACACATACTTGAAGTACATTCTCAGTATCTGCATAACACGTATAAACAACGTCACGTAGCATATTCTTGGTATATTCTGAGAATGTTCCAAATGCAAATACAGTATATTCTCAGCATATGCACATTCTTAAAAAGCATATACTGAGAATATGCTAAGAATGTATAAAAGATAAAAAAAATTATTCATTTCATTTGAAAGAAATAGAAACCCAAATCACTTCAAGCTAACTTAAAATCCCAACAATTACAAACTAATAACACGAACGAGAAGAGACGTTTAAATACGCATGTGCTGATAAATTATACAAGCGTTGAAGCTTTGATCGTTTTGACAATTCGCCGACTCATTCATGTACGAATCAGAAAATATGTTGAAACTTTTTACTGATAGTCCATCTGATTATCCGTGGCTTTGTAGGAACGGACTATTTTCAGTGCGCATGCGTCTGACGTCCTTCTGATGATCAGATTTGCTGTTGGAACGAACCTATTATTGACACAACTTTAAATTTTCCATAATTGATACAAAGTTAAATTCTCAATTCTGTTGACACTGACCGCAATCCCCAAACTATCGATCGATATATAAATCAAGCCATTACTAGCACACTGACCGCAATGTTACTAGCCCGCATCAACCATGGTATGGCTGCTCTGGAAAACTGACCACAGTAATAATAAAGAAATATATGTTTTATATTATAGTATAGGGAATAGTAATGGTGAAAATGAAAGATATTAAATTGCAAATTGCAAAGTTAGATGAGAATTTAAAGAAGATAGACAAGAATGTAAAAAAAATAGATGAAACCGATGCGAAGAAGCAGTAATTGGAAAAGAAGATGGAAAAAATAAAGGAAATATTACAAATCTGTAATAACATAAAAGATCAAGAAAAAGGAAATAAAAGTGTGAAAATAAATAATGAAAAATTATATGTACATTAAAAAAGATACAGAATAAAAATTAAAGATAAAAATAGTAATTGAAGAAGTACTTAATGGAAAAAACTTAATGAATTTAATGAAAGAAAATGAGATAAAAAGATGATAATAGAAGTAATTCAACAACAATGAGTTAAGGAAGAAAATAGTTATATTTATACGACCACTATCCAAAGTAGGCTTTTGCGCTTCGAACTACAATTGCAAAGTTGAGGTTTGCTAGTCACCGGGGGCCACATACTTTGATTTTCTTTTACTATACGGGGAATGGTCGCACTGCGCAGCTTTCTGAGTGCCTTTTAAAAGGAGATAGAAAACTCCGCCATTTTGAACCCTTATTACGTGTTGCGTACATCTTGGCGCAATATTTTTAATAGTTGCGTTTTAATCATCTGCTTCTGCTTCGGAATTGTCGGTTTTCTTGTTTTAATCTGACAGGTTAAAACGACTAAACCGACAATCCCGGAAGCAGAAGCGGATGATTAAAACGCACCTGATATTTTGCTTGCTGCTGTCAGTGTCAGTGAATATTATTTTTGAAGTCACAGTTTATTGCTAAAGAATCAGTTAGCTCACTCGGACCAGTTGAAAGTTCCAAAATAACATCCACTTCAGGGATACAAATTCAGGATACGCAGAAGACTGCTGTTTTATTATAGGCGGTTGTCATATATTGTATTACCCGAGTTGCACAGTGTATAAACTGAAACATTGAGATCAAAAGTGCCGACGCAGAGTGAGCGATCTGATTCTTTAGCTGTAAACTGTGTCACAGGGTTCAAAATGGCCGCGCCCTATGTTGGGAGTGTCGGACCTCTCTCTTGTCTCGTATAGTATTCAAAGTATGTGCCGGGGGCAAAACTTGACAGCTTTGTTGCTTGCCTAATTTAAATTATATATAGCACAATAATATCTTTTTTTAATAAGTAATTTTCAGGTTATTTGTTCGTAGTTTGATATTTTTGTTTTATTGTCCAAGTTAACATTGACTTTGAATATCAACTTCGTTTTTCATTATTAACGTAGATATAGGCAACACATTATACACTACTGACGATACATTTTCAGTATTTATATCTATCGTAGAAAAAATATTTTGTGCATTTTAAGCAAAAAGTTTATTGTCGCTTTTGACAGATTGATAGTTTTCTTTCTCAAGCAGCAAAGTATCACTTTTGGCTATTAATACACAAATAGCTATAACCAATTTGAGCTCAAGAGATCCACACCGCAATATTGGTGCGCTCATCAAAGTGGATGGCATGAAAACTGCAAACCTCGAAGAGAGTGGAGTCTGAAAGAACTCACACCGCTCATGATAGGCTTTGAGTTATATCCCCAAAAATGGAAAGAGGTTAAGGTAGTCTTTATACTCAAACTGGAAGGATGGATAACACTATCCCAAAACCATACCGACCAATTAGCCTGACATCGTTTTCCATGAAGACATTAAAAAGGCTTTGCATTAGATACATAAGGGATGTGGTGATTAAAACACCAGTACACCCAAATCAACATGCATACACCTTAGGCAGATCTACGGATTCAGCCTTTCACCTAGTTGCTGGCCGGATAGAGAGATCACTGGACAATAAAGAGTCCACCTTGGGTGTTTTTATAGACATATAAGGTGTTTTTGATAAGACGACCTTTCCCAAGATGATTCACTCACTAAACAACAGGAATATTTCGTAGATGGTTAGTGGGTGGGTACACAACATGCTCTCAAAGCGAGCAGTAAACATAAGTGTAGAAGATGTTTCTTAGTTGCGAGAGGATGTCCACAAATGGGTATCACCTCTACTGTAGAACACGGTTCTCGATACCCCCTCAATAATGATAGTCACTACACAATAACGTATGCAGATGAACTGGTCATTCTGCAAACAGGGAATATTGTGAACATACTGTGAGAAAGAATGCAAGTCTCTCATAATTACAAAATTATAAAACAGTGATGCAATCCCAAGAAGACAGAAAGGTTCTTTTTACAAAATATACATTTTTTTTTTTTTCGTTTGTACAAACATTTATTAGTTTTGATATTTTGCAGGCTAGATTTTCTCCGACCAAATCAAACTAATTATTAAATGTATCTGCTGATGGAGAACTTGATAATTTATTAGAGATATTTAACTGCACGTGTATTGAGTGAAGCACAGTAAAAATGTTCTTAGATTTCTTAGATTAGAAGTGTTATTTTTCTCGGACCCTGTAACTTTTGGTAAAACCAGTTGCACAAACGCTGTGCAACTTGCAACTATTACATTCGAGTAGGTAAGTGTGTAGTGTGCATTTTTGCTGAAAAAACAGCTCTCAACAAGTCTCAATCCACCACCGACGACGTCTTGTTTTTGTCTTTCACTTCTCGAAAAAGTAGGCCGCCGCGGTTCGATCGTATCGACCGCTAACATTGAGTTGCTAGCAGTCAAAGAGCGCGGTGGTCGCGCGTCTACTTTTACGCATTTTTTTTTTGTTCATCTTGATTTTACTGTATTTGTTAGGTTTACTTTACGAATTTTTGGATTTCGAGTACTTACATTTTTAACACGTTATCGGTGAAGCAAACCGTGCGCGAGAAACATTTTGCTGAACATTATGGTGTTGTTTACGAGGAATACCGAGCTGGATGACACGGTAAGTTGATTTCAAGATTCGTTTTTTTTTATCTTAAATTCATTAAAGTGGAAGGCGTAAAATCTTAATTCATATAAGGTGTTTTAACATTATATTTCTGAATTACTTACACTGAAGTATCGTCAATAATAATAGATTCTTTTTATACAGGGGGGTCCGCTACGTGTGGTTACCTACATTACAATGCATTTCAAAATACGTATTTAAACCAAGAAATATGTAATTGTAAAGGGTATTTCACAAGATATAACCAGTATCATAAAAAAATCGTATTGAGTTTTGATATTAATCTAATTTAAACCTTTAAATCGATTTCCTTTTATTTTATTTCTATTCTAAAGCATTTTAACATAAAGATAATAATTTTGAAAGATTTTTTAATCCTATACTATTTTTGCTGCGTTTGAATATCCACATCCGATGCATTTTTTACATCTAGAGTTTTTGATTATTCACATCGGACACATCTGTACGTATCTTGAATCACGTGATCAAAGATGTACAATATTATCTCAGATGCATTTGATGTGGATAAACAAAAGCAGCATTTATATTCTTTAATGGGAAAATCAAGAGTAATTTAAAATTGAAATAAAATATAGGATGTTGCATAACCTGTATATGCAAAATTAATTTCATTGCAGTTATTAAGCAAAAAATATTTTTCACTATAGAATCTACAGGTAAAATATTACCCATTCCTTATTAATCACTCTGTATATTTTTAAATTTATTTAGGTATAATAAAAGAAAATCTTTTAATGAAAATGTTTACTTCGTGGATATTGATACTACACATGTTTGGTAATTTCTTTACATGATAAGGTAATTTAAAGTTTAAGATTTATGTATAATGATATATTTTCGTTATGACTCATTATTAAGGAATGTGAACTTTTGATATTTTTAAATGTTGTTTTTTTTTTTGATAATTAATATTAAAAATTGATTTTATAATTGGTTTATTTTAATTACCAAATTACTATAAAACAATATCGTTTTATGTGTGATGAAAATAAAATATTTCTAAGGCCAATGTTTGCGAACTTTAAAAAGTAATTTTCGACACTACTTTTTTTTACGAACTCCATTATGTGCTAGAATTAAAAAAAAAACGTAAACAAGTATTAAAAGTAACAAAAAGTCTTTAATATTTAACAACTGAAACCTTTAAATAAACAACTGACACCAAACAACGCATTTTTCTAATTATTAACTTTTCATTTTAATTCAAAAAAAGATAAATAAGTTATGTTAAGTATATTGTATTAATACACTTCAACGTAAAAGATATATTGTTCCCCCTTCTGTCGCTAATGTAATCCTATCTTCTCTAGGAACTTTAGAATTTGGAGAGGCTTCAAGTTAGGTAGATCGTCCTCTTCTATTTGGTTTGCTCCCAACTATAGTGCCTTTGAATTCTGGAGTGCTACATATTCGGTCAGAATATGAATTTAGGTTTGTCCTTCTCACTGAATCTACACTTACCATATTCTGCTACTCTCAGTTTACTGTGTTCTTTGAATCCCTGTTTCAATGCCTAGCAGGTTATTGCTTAGGCTTCTGATAATTTTTGATCATCTAGAAGTAACTTAGCCTGTCTTAGCCCCAAGAGACTGTTCCAATTATTGGTTCTTCTACTGCCCAATTCTTTTTTAATCTGGTACTGCTGATACCCCATAGCGGCTCAGGTCCCATAAAGGGTGTTTGAGCCACTTTCCTTGGAAAACTATCTGCAATCTCGTTACCCTTTTCCGCATTATATCTCGAGACCCAAGCGAGAGTAACTGTATTTTGCTTGCCTAGCTCATTTCGTTTTTCTAGACATGTCCAGGCCATTTTTGAGCTGATTACGTAAGAAATTTATAAGCATCTTTTTGTTTTAATAACTGCCAAAACATTATAGGTACGAGATGAATAGTATGTGAAAATATCTCGGAAAATATGTTTAAGTTATAAATAAACAAATGGGTAACTAAGTGAAGATAATCCTGTAGACCAGTACAATCGGACGACAGCTGTTATATGTTGGACGGTTTTTTGTAATTATTTTAAAAAGATGTTTGTTATTTCGACAGCTTTCTATCTATAGCTGTGCGTTCTTCTTAGACTTATTCACAATACTACTTTTCGAATTCTCGTATTTCGTATTCATAGACATTTCTTCATCTAGAGAAGCAATGTCTTCTCTTCGTCTTCGGCACCCTGGTTATTACAATTTCTGTACTAACCAACTACAGTCCCTTTGACAACGTAGCAGCGTGCATTCTATGACTCTTCAAAGATTTCTACGATTTTTTATGTTTTTCTATTCGTTTTTTGTGATTTTTCATAAATTTCTATGAATATCTGACTGTCTGTCACCCATTCAACGTTTTGCTCTTCCTCTTCTTCAGTATCTTCTCCAGTAGTTTTTTGTTCTTCGTTTTAGGCCTGCACTGCTCTCTACATGATTTCTAATTATTCTTCAGTTTGGGCCTTTTTGACTTCCTGTATCAATAAATATTACGAATTTTTAATAATTTTCCATGGATTTCTTTGATTTTCTATGATTTTCTACGAATATCCGACTGTCTGTCCACTTTTCAACGTTTCGCTTTTCCTCTTCTTCTTATTCAGATTCAGCAATGGTTTCTTCATCATCTTAAGTCTTCACTGCTCTCTGTATGATTTCTAAGTATTTTTCTGTACTTCTCCAAAGTTTAGGTCTTTTCTACGAATATCCAACTGTCGGCCACCCTTTCAACGTTTCGTTCTTCTTCTTCAGCTTCTTCAGTGATTTATTTTTCATCTTAGGTCTATACTGTTATGTGTATGATTTCTAAGTATTCTTCAACGTCTCCTATTTGTCTTTCCTTGTCTGTCTTCTACCCTGTTTATACGTCATCTCCTCCATATTTCAGTTGACATTCTTCAACATGTATAGGTTGCATCATGTATAGTAATAGCAATATAAATAAAATACTTCTGAAGCAGAAGCTTTTCTTTAAATTTCTATGTTTTTCTATTATTATCCAAAGATTTTCTTTGGATTTCTTTGGTTTTCCATGAATTTCTTTGATTTTTCTTAAGATTTTCTAGGGATTTCTAAGGTTTTCTAGGATTTTCTTCAATTTTCCCTTAAGATTTTCTATTTGTATGACTTTCTGTGCTTTTCTTTGATTTTCTAGAGGTTTGCGTATAGATTTTCCGTGAGTTTCTAAGATTTTACACATACTACACTAGATTGACAACATTGTACTCTACAGGAGTTTGTGTGTTGCATATGGTTTACTCTCCCCCTTCTTCTCTTTCTGTCACTGTTGAACGTAATATTAGGTTAGATGACAGTTGTTCCTTGACATTTATGACTGTTAGGTTAGCATATATGTTGCCAGTTCTCTGAAATATCGCTTATCACTACTCGGGATAAAAATGGTGCGGATATAAAATGGCAATAGACATGTAAGGTTAAGGTTAGACAACTTCGTAGCTATGAATTCTCAGGTTAGGTTGGCAACTCTGGATTGACAGCTGACAGATGTTAGGTTAGCAACACTGTTGACAGATGACATGTCAATTGACAGCTGTTATTATTCGAACTTCGACTCATGACCTTGAAAGCGTCACAAATTGCCAGAATGAACCTTAGCGATTTCTTATGGGATTTAACATGGGGCTTGTTCTCGAACTGTTGTTGCTCCTTTACTGGAATTTTTTCTCATTAATGAGGAAAATCAATTTTCGCTAGTAGTATCCTCTATCGGAATGAGCAGTCGTACAAAAAATATTTTAAAACAGACATTTGTTTATAAAAGTCAATTTAAGTTACAAAAAGCTCAAAAAATGGTTTAGTTGGAACTATTTTTCGGATCTACCTGCTTCGAATTCTCGTAGGTATATATACGGATCCTTATGAACACCAACCAATGATGATAATATCCTTTATATCAAATATATTTTTGGCCAAGACAGCTATAAACCAGTTGTGATATATTACTTGCGATTTCAATACAGAAATTTATTGTAAATTAATACCTAATCATATTTATCTTGTTTGAAAATATTTTGAGTTCAAATATTTAAAAGGGTTATCGGTCTACTCCGATATTACCAATTATTATGAAACTTAAAAAAAAGACATCAATGTATAACTAATTAATTGTATTAGAGTTTTAAAACGTTATAGAAAAAGTTTAATAATTTCAAATAAAAATCTTAAAAAGTTTCATACAAGGATTTGTGGTTTTTAAAACTACCCAAAAAATATTTCCCACTAAACATCTTCAATTAAAGCACCACTTACCCAATATAATATTATCCAATAGGAACTTGTAAATGCTTATGGTCCACTATGACTCGTGAGTACATGCTAATGCTTATACAGCGTATCCTATAAAGAATGGGACAGAACAACTGAAGATTCTTTGATTCAAAAACATAACATGCTTTGGTAAAATATTACTTGTTTCTAAAAATTTAATTAAGTTAAAAATTAGTTTTAAGTTTGAGAAAATTTAGAAATTTAAAAATTCACATATTGAGTGAAAACCACTCGTTTCGTAGCTAATTTAAATATATGTACAGATTTAAGGGGGGGGGGGGGGTGGTGGTAAAGTTAGTTCGTGCAAAAAAGGCACATTTTTGTGGTTTTTTTTTTAGACGACACAGTTAAATCTGTAATCCTGCCAGGCCAATGCTACACTAAATTATATACATTACAGGTACAAACGCGTTTGTACTTGTGCTGCAATTTCTATATAGAAAGTTAGGGGTAAGGTTAGGGGTTATATAGAGATCGAAACAGATGCCAGGTAACATTAGCGCGCGGTTGCTCAAACCGCTGTATCTTCGTTATTTTTGCTCAGATTCATCTCAAATTTTCACATAATATTCTTGAAAGTTTCTCCATTCAGAAAATCAAATAAAAAACTTTAAAAACGTTTCCCCTCCCCGTTTCCTTAAGCTGATAAAGCAAATTATTCAAACGTTGTTGCCCATGTGTAATGAGTAATTTGAAT